TTTGAGTGGGCAGAACTGCATTGTGAAATTTGTTGAGGTTTTCATGTTTGGGAAAAACTCAAACTTTACATGTCTTGGCTTTTTGCTGAACCAAATTTGTAACGAGAGAAATCTCGTTTTAAATGACTTATTTTCTAAGTCTGAACTTTGGGAATTCTGATCTAAAGCTGGCTTCTCTTAGAGTTTGAGTGAGCTTTCAGTTGATTTCTTGTTGTTTTTTTATTTATTGATGAATTGAGTGTGAGATTGATTGTCCTCTGCCCTGTTCACTCCCTCCTATATTTATAAGAAAAGCTTGGGAGTAGGGTTTCCTTTTAAATAATGGGCGGCAAGTCTTTCAAAAGATACAAGAAATACCATAATTAATTCTAGCATTCAACCGTCAATTCTTAAGATCACTTCCCTGTTTTTCTTGAAAGAAAACCAAATATTTCTCTTTAATTCCAACTGCCCCCTGTGAGAGTTTTTAAACTGTGATGGTTAGTTTTGATTTCTATGAACAAATCCTTGCTTTCCCGCTTATCTCTTTTTGAGCTTGTAGTTTGCTTATCTTTCGGGAGAATCACCTTCTCTGAAATAGAAGAAACATCTCTAAAATATATTAATATGTAAGGGGATTTGATCTTCTGAATTTCAGAGGTGTCCCTTAATAATTTTGCCAGCTACTGCCCCTCTCTAATCAACTTTGTGATAGTTGGTTTTGTTGACTTTTTTAAATCTGAGAAAAAGGTGTCACGTGGGTTCTGAAAAAATGGGTCTCTTCCTTCATCAAAATCGTGTTGGGCCCATTTTTGTCTGGAGCTTGAAGGTGACTTTTCTTTTGAGGCCCAAGTTTGCTTGTCTGGTTTGATAAGTCTTGGGCTAGGCCTTTTTGGACTTTGAGCTTCTGCCTTCCGTTTTTTCAAAGACCAAACTGTTTGAGTCTTGTAGCTTTATTATGGGCTTCTTCTTTGTTGGGCTGGGCGTGCTAAATTAGGCCCAAACAACATGTAAAAATATATAGTTAAAATTGAAATTCAAATCTCAATCGTTCAGCATGCATTAGACAAATAACTTTAAATAGTTTCAGACCTCTTTATACCAAATAAATCATTCTACCATCTGAAACTGGTCTCAACTCTTAGAACAACATGAATACGTTATCAAGTTCCAATGTAACTTAACTAAACAAATTTTCTACACTTGATTTTGTGGTTGCACCTAGTAACTCTAGGTTGCCTACGTACCTGTTGGACATATTTTACTTTATCTTCTCGCAAGGGCACATACCAATTATAGTATAGGAATGCAAGAACGAGGTCATTCCACAGAGATTTCGATGAAAGACACTTATTACTACTACTTAGACTCATAAGTAACCTAAGACTAAACAAAATTTAATTGAGGTTGAGTTGAGTTTGTTTGGAGTGAAAACTACTAAAAGGGAATGCAAAATAGCAAGTTACTGAAAACTACTAAAATGGAATGCAAATAACAAGTGATCAGCAAGTAGATGTTTAGAAAATTTAGAGACAAAGGAGACATGCACTAGGGGTTCAACTTCACCGTGACAATGTAACAACCGGATCCTTAATTAATTCTTAATTATTATTTTATTCAAGGAAAGGACTAGAATACCCTCGGAATATTTTATTAAGTATAAAAGTTGACTTTTTCATCGGGGAGGAATTTGAAGGTTTCACTTGTACTGTTGCATAGATCGCGTTGAAACGATTTTGTAGACACGTAGTGGGGCTGAATCCGAGTTTCATCGAGAAAGATACAATTAAAATACTAAAAAGGGAAAAATCGTAATTTTGCGAAAATCATATTTAAAAATCAGATTTTTCTCTCTCTCCTTTCTCCCGACGACCTCTCTCGTGCGACATAGGCCGGCCATGTTTGGCTGGCTTCCAGGCAGCTCAGGCCACGCCTGGTCGTGGGAACGGTTGGAAAATGACTAGCAAGGTTCAGCGAGCACTTTTGGGCTGAATCCCCGCCACGACAGGCCGTTATGCCACCGCCACAAACCGGGGAAAACCAGTTTCCCTTCAAAAGTTTAGACGCCATTTCTGATGGCTCCAGCGACGAAATCCCTCGATCCATGTATGGTTCCTCACTTATTTTATGATCTCTAGCTGCCTATTGGGTAGGATTGGATTGATTTTGGGTTTAGGTTTTCTAATTTAGAAACTCAGATTTTGGCCTGTTTTCAGCTGGAAAATCCGGCCACTTGCCTTCCGATTTGGACGTTGCCAGAGTTGAATAATGTGTTCCACACGTCGAGTAGTAGCTAGAGTTGGAAGGGCAGCCCTTGGTTTTGAGGTTTCCCTGTCATGCCCCAGACCCGGTGGTCGGTGGAAACCCCACTCCCGGTGCGTGAGTAAAATAAAATAAAAAGAAATTCAAGGAAGGGTTTAAAATAAACTTCTTTTATAAAAGTAGCTCAAATTTCTTACGACTTTACAATTAATAAATAAAGCTCTAACACTCTCATCTAATTCAACCTCAACTGGTTTAGTCCTTTTCTTGCCCATTAATTCATCTGAAAAATTAAACAGAGTGAGGGGTGAGTAACCACCGCTCAGTAGGGACATAAAACCTTACCACGGTAGATTGATATAACTAAATTATGTGAAATGCAATCACACAGCCAAATATCACATTATTAATAATAATGCATGAGTGCTCTTCATTTAATCCCGATAATTCATATAACTGGACAAGCAGACTTGCACGTCCCATACCATGCTTATACCACTTGGTCCTGAATGCCCATTTATATGAACTAACACCCATTTCAACCATCCCATAATTCCCCTTTTGTTAATCATCTTGTCTAACTCCCTTTCGCCAGTCCCGAATCACCCAATAAAAAACCGTGTGCACTATGGGATCCCTAAGACCTGGTACCTGCCAAGAGTGAGACTGAACTACACAAAAGACTATTTCCAATATCCTCTTTTCCATCATTATTTTCTCAACCCAAGAACTCCAAATAATTTCCATGACATGATATAGTTCTTCAGTTCACATATCTGATAACAACAATGTAATCATTTAAATATCACCAATGTACATATAATCATGCCAACATTAATTAAATAATTAATAACACGTAAACACCCAATATCAAGAAAATCCATCAAGTTATAATACCACACATAATATTGTGCTCACGAAATTTAATTAAATCAATCCCCGTAAAGTCTCCCAAGAAATCACTACCTTAACATCAAAGCTTTTGCTAGAATTGTAAGACGACTCCCTAATTTCCACCACATATATCCACACTCAAATTCTCTCTCTAGTATTTCACTTCCTTTCTCTCTTTGTCGTTTCTTTTTGTTATTGACAACATAGGGGAGAGGCCTTATTTATACTCTTACAAAACTTGGCCATGAAGTAAGAATAGATATATGGATAAGCTTGATGAATAAGGATAATTATGAATATAGGAAGATAAAATCAAGATATTTATCAACTAACTAATTTCTTACGGTGCTGTCAAAACACACAAGCTTTGAGCTTTAAAACAAACAAGCTTTGAGCTTTAAAACAATGACATATATATTGGTGATAAGGATGAAATATGCATGCTAACCACACGTCCACCCTACCTTAAGATGATTAAAACTCATATATATATATAATAAAAAATTACCATGTCAATCCTTTTTGTCCAAGTTAACTTGCTCAGAAAGATAAAAAGAGATTTTTTAGCTATTTAATACATAAGATGTGAATAACACAATTGTAATAATTAATATTATTATAAATATATACAATTATATAAGTTAAATACCCAAGAAATGTCTAAGGGTACCCATTTAGAGAAAATCAAATAATAAATATATTTTATAGTTATTCAAATAAAAATATATATATTTACTAAGTAGGAACAAGGATTGAAATATCGGCCGATACATCGATATATCGACATTTTGAACTGTCGACATTGGGGGGGTAAGGTCATATCTTCCCCTATATCGACGATATATCCCCGATAAATGCAATATTCCCGATATTTTGCCGATATTTCCCAATATTTCCCGATACCCATAACAAAACCCAAAAAAATTAAAAAGTTTTGAAGCAAATTGAAACTGAAAATATTTTTTGGAGGTATATGTGCAGTTATTAGATATGTGTGAAGGCTTTTGGCAATATTCAATTCAAAAGATGTTTTGGAGTATGCATCAAAAGAATCTATGCACAGTCAATTGAAGGGACATACATGTCCTATCTCAAGCTTATTTGCCACTAACTTGGCTTCCCATCTTTTGGTCTAACGTGTATTGATCACAACCACTATATTTGTAAATTTGTAGATTATATGATAGACAAAATATTAGTATAATAATAATTAATAATGTAAAGAATGTGAGTGACTGTTTTTTGAGCCATGAAAAGAAGAACTTGGAAGAAGAATTGATTCTTTACTTCGTGCTTGGAATACTGTTTTGAGCTTTGGGGTTCTCTTTTTTGGCTTATTGTTCTGCCTTTAAACTGTCGAAAGCTTTTATCTAAGTCCGAGCTTCTTGTGGAACTCTTTATCATTTAATCTTTGTTTCATTTTTTGGTTGTTTCTTTTTCACTTTTCGAAGTCAGACAATTGGCAAAATGTAATTCACTGCCCACATACCTCCAAAAAATTTGACTACTTTTAGTTCCATCAAAGTCAGAGAATCATCCAATTGAAATCCATAAAATAAAGTCTGCAAAGCCCATTTACCATTGTCCCCCAACCCCCAAAAGTTCCCATTGTTATCACGAGAGAAGCCCTCTTTAAATCAAAGGCTATTTTGCTTTTTTTGGGGCACCAAATCTTCCCTTCTCTTCTCTTTCTTTCTCTGCGAGCTTTTCAATTTTTATTTAGTCTGTGAGCTTCTTTCCTTGTTTGCAAGTTCTCTTTGACTGCTATTTTAGGTATGTGGCTCTCCCTCACGGTCTATATTATTTTTGTGATAGATTTGATATTGTAAGTTCATTTAATATATTTTAAGTGTGATAGATTAAAAATGGCAAGTAGTAGTGGACCGAGTGGAGCTAGTGTGCCTAGTGGTCTTGATGTGGCATGGAAATATGCTTGTCCAATAGAAGGCAATAAGCATGGCACCATATGCACATTTTGTGAATCCACATTTAAAAGTGGTGGAATTACACGGTTAGTATCATTTGGCCGGATTTGATCCACATAAGAGTGTAAAGAAGTGCAAAGAAGTACCACCAGATATTAAGAAGGAGGTAATTGCATGGATAAAAGAGAAAGAGTCTAGCAAACAACATAAGAAATCTGTTGAAGAAAACATAAGATCTACAGCAAGAGAGGGATACATGGGCAATAAAAGTAGCAATCCTGTTGATGATGAAGATGACGATGATGACGATGGATATGCATATCCTCCAGACATGCACCCTGCGGAGAAAGAAGATTACCTTGCTGCCATTAGAGCGTCGAAGCAAGAACGGTTTAGACAAAGAGGAGTTTATGGAATGGGGAGCAAACGATTTGCAGGGGGAGCAAGTGGTAGTAGTCAACCGCAATACCGTCGCACTCAAAGCCTTCGAGACCCACTTCCATCTCCTCCGGTACCAATGCCACACAAGAACACTAGAGCAAAACAGAGAACAATCAAAGGTAGGATTAGAAACTCAGCAGAGGTACTTGGAAGATACTGCAGCAAATTCTTCATACTTGAGAATGTGGCTCCTCAAAAAGCAAGTTCCCCTCATTTCAAGAATATGATTGCTGCAGCCCAACAAGCAGGTTTTGCTTTATTCCTTATAACTTTCCTTTCTTGAACTTAAATATTCTAAACACACCAATTACTAATATGAGTTTATACTAGGTCAAGGAGTAGCCACACCATCACCGTATGAAATAAAGCATAAGTACTTAGATATGAAACACACAAACATGCAAGCCTATGTGGAAAAGGTAAAGGAAGATTGGGGCGTGTATGGATGCACCATCATGAGTGATGGATGGACTGGCCCCACGAGGTTGTCCATAATAAATTTCATGGTCTACTCAAACGGGAAAACAATTTTTTTGAAATCAGTGGATGCTTCAAATAAAACCAAGGATGCAAAGTACATTGCCAAATTGTTGAAGGATGTCATAAAAGAGGTTGGGCCGTCAAATGTTGTTCATACTGTCACCGACAATGGTTCAGCCTTTGTTAAGGTTGGAAAGATGATGATGGAGCGGTACCCTATTTATTGGACTCCTTGTGCTGCACATTGCATTGATTTAATATTTGAAGATATTAGGAAGCAAGAGTCGGTGGCTAATGTCATAAATAAGGCTAGGAAATTAACCAACTACATTTACAATCATAGTTGGCTATTGGCTCAGATGAGGATCTTCTGTCAAGGAGATTTGGTCCGACCTGGTGCAACTCGATTTGCGACAAACTACATCACCATCAATAGCATCTTAAATAAGAAAGTTGGGTTGAAGCAAATTTTTACAAGTGAGGAATGGTATAATAGTCGATTTAGTGAATCAGAAGAGGGGAAGAGAATTGAAAGTCGAGTCCTTGATCATAGATTCTGGGATGCCATGGAAGGAGTGCAATCCATCTATGAGCCTTTGTATAGCATCTTGCGAATTGTTGACATAGAGATAGTTCCTACCATGCCTATCTTATATGATATGTTTCACATAATGAAAGAGAAGATTCTAAGTTGAAGGGAAAAAAATGGCTTCTCAAAATCATCAATCACAGATGGGATGTCACATTATCTCGTCTATTACATCAAGCTGGTATGTTTTAATCTTTTAGTAAAAATGTGCATCAATTTTTAAATTTATACAACGGGTATTAACTAATCTTCATATTTGTAGCCCACTACTTGAACCCTAGATATCAATATGAAACAGGGGTTGGCCACAATAAAGAGTTACTTTCAGGACTCCAACGCGTATTTGAAAGGTTGAATCCAACTGGGGATAGAGGTTTGCAAGCATTTGGGGCTGAGGTAAGTGAACACAAAACAATGTCTTCCTCATTAAATTTAGTTTTATGCATCTTGAACAAAATATTGTGAATCCAGGTGATAAATTTTAGAGACTGTAGAAAGACATTTCGCACTGAGATGGCAGTCAAATCAAGAAAATCGATCCCCCCGGCAGAATGGTGGAATCTTCATGGTGATTCTGCCCCGAACTTGCAAAAAATTGCTATGCGTATATTGTCACAGACAGCATCATCATCGGCATGTGAGCGAAATTGGAGTACATTTGCTCTTATTCACACGAAACAAAGGAACCGTCTCACATGTACTAGGCTGGAAAAGATTGTCTTTTGCTATTATAATATGAAACTTAAGCTACGTGATGAAGAGGCCGAAATGAACAAGGTTGCAGAAAATGACTACATAGACCTTCTTGACATTGCAGGGCAACCATTTGATGATGATAATAATCCAATTCAACAATGGATTATGATAGCTCACTTGGATGATGAACAAGGCAACCCTGATGCCGTTATAGCACAACGTGCTGCCCAAGAAGGAGTTGATGTTGATAGAGTCATATCTGAAGATGTTAGGAGTGGAGATACTTCATCATTTGAAAGGGATATGCTTGGACCTAGGCAAGGTCAAAGACGTCCCTTGAGAGACGATGCTAGTGCTAGTAGAATGGAAAGTTCATCCAATTCGTCAGATAATGATGGAGGAAGTAATGCTGGATCAGGAGGTAATGAAGAAGGAAGACAATACAACCCATTTACTGTTGAGGCTGATTTTACTCATGCCACCCAAGATGAGGATCATGGATGTAGAGAAGCTGGACCAGGCATTGGCGCAATTGGGAAGCAATACTCAAAGAAAAGAAGCCAACCAATCAATCCATCTGAAGAGGACATGGCGATCAGTTTTGGATCTATGAGCATAGGAACTAGACCTAGTACTAACTCAAATGAATCTTATGATGGCTATGGTTATGTCATGTCTGATTATAGTGGAACTAGATATGGAGCTCAAGATGAGGAAACAGATTATGGACCTACTAGTTGGGTTAATCCTAACTATCCCATATATGGGAGGATAGTAGGGAGCTCAAGAGAGACATATATGCACCATGTTCAAACATGGCTTACAAACTACTCGGGTTACATGACTCGGTATGATTATTGTATGAACCTAGATGGTTGTTCCTTATTGTTTGAACCTCCCATATATGTAGTTGGACACTCATCTAAATTGTAATCCAATGTTTAAATAAACTATGGATTTATGTATGGTTTATTTATTCTAATCAACTTTTTATTTTCAAACTTTTCATTAACGCGCATTACATACCACTTATACTTCATCATATATATATATATATATATATATATCTTATTATTAGTAAATTTTGAGTTTTATTTGTTCAATACATTCATTGACAATGTACATAACATCTATGAAAGTTTTACACCAAAATTATGTGTTTCAATGCCTATATCTGTCATTTTTGTTGATTTCTTCAAGATACCTAAAACGATAACGATATATCCCCCGAAATATCCGTAAATTGGGGGCCCGATATTATCTGCACGGCCGATATTTTAAACCTTGAGTAGGAATAATTATTAAAATAGTATTGTAAACGTAAAACAGTACATATACATAAACGTTTAATCTTTTTTAAAAACTTTTAAGAATATGGATTCTCACATTTCTGGCCACTGGTATCGTTTAGGACACCCACGCACTGCCGGCGTGTGCGGCGGTGAGTGGGCTAGGCTTTGGACCAGCTTAGAGTTTTAGAATGATTTCCTAGTCCTCACGAGCGTGTAGGTACTTTCGGATTTCAATTCGGACAACGTTTGAACCCCGAACGGATCTCGCCTATTGTGTGATTTCCGGGTTTGATATGTTTGAACTGTTGGATCGTAGTCAATTATATATATATATTAATCTAGATATTTCCAGCGCCACCTCCGGTGGTGGTCCTGGGTACTATTCCGGCGACAGACCAACCCTAGAATCGCCAATCAAGACCTATTCTAAAATGTTCGTAATACTGAGTGGAACAACTTTAATTCTTACCTCAAGGTCCAATTCGAATTGTAAGTGGCTCAAACCGCCGGTTGAAGTCGTTGACTTCACTATTGACGAACCAACTTCACAGCTTCACCGTGCGTTCATTTCTTCTCCAATGGCCTCAATTGTTCTTGGGTTATGCTCACGAAGTATCAGGCTTTCGATCTAGGTGGATGGTGTCGATCACCGCCGCCGTACACTGTCGTAGAAGCCACCGGAAATCACCTTTTTGGTGAGCTCTCAAACCTCTGGGGACTAAATCAAAATTTATGAACTTAAACAGTGTCCCTTAATAATTTATAGGCAAAGAATCTGTTTGCAATTAAGTCCCTGTAATTTCAAACGAGCATAAGTTCTTCGTTACAACTCAGATTCACGAACCATTTGTGCCTACACATTCGGGAGATCAAGCTCTTTCTTCTATCAAAGAATCATAATTTTCTCAATTCAATTTCTTCAACGTCTTGAAAAATCACAAACTTAATCGTAAGGGTATTTTTGTCCAAATTTGAGATTAAGTCACTTAATTCCAATATTTTCACATCAAACCAAATTCATCACACCCAATATAGCCACACAACATAATAAGGTTTTTCATAAAAATAATAAAACCAAGTACTATTTTTTAGGTCATTACAATGTAAGCATGTGCGGGTCTAGTTTATCGGACAAATGAACCGGGTAAATGAAAAGGGAAAACCCACACAAATAGAACTAGACAACCAAAAAGGTTAACGCAATTTATCACCATCCAGCCACTGAAGTGAAGGAACTACCTTCACCAAAAATGACTTGAAATTTTCACCAGCAATTGCATTCCCAGCAATGTCTAATTGCGTCAACCTCAAGCTTTTAAAAATCAGAAAAGCTTCCCAATAATTCATCACACTGACACCCCCAGGCATAATTTCATCACAGTTCCAACTAGTTTCTTCTGTGTGAGAAAGAGGAGATGAACAGAGATATCTTGTAGTGTCAGTAGTGTGTAAACCTATCTCATTGTAAGAGATATTCAGAACTTCTAGTGACTTCAGCAGCCTCAAAGGTCCCAGGGCAGAAAAACCACTGAATTTGTTGACACTCAGATTTAAGCAAGACAGAAGCTGCATGGCCTCCAATCCTGTCCAAAGACCCAAGTCAAAAAGATGAATTGCCACTCACAATCTAAACAATTAAAGTTCTGTATGTTTTAGAAGTTTCGGCATTGCAGCTAGTGTAAGAAAACAAAAGCTTTCCAGAATCAAATTTCTAAATCATGAGATGTTCTCTAACAGGTTACCAATATATTTCCAGATTGACCAAACTATGTATTTTTGTGTATAAAATTGTTTCCCAACTAAATGAGTTCCACAGGAAGTCAAAAACAAATAAATTAAATTTTTTGGTCATAAAATAAATTCATTAAACTCTACCTATACACAATAAGCACAACTTCCCAATTAAATTGCAGGAAATTGCACACAATTTGGATAAAAAGAAGGCAGGGCGCCATACAAGATTCACAACATGAGCAAAAGTACACATACCTTCAATAGAACAAAGTTCATTGTGGCTGAGGTCTAGCATGCTAACCCACAATAATTTCTCAACAGACCCCATTCGTGATAAGGATATATTATTTAGTCGTACACATTTATAATTACCAATGCTTGCAGAAGCAAAGTTTTTATAACTACAGCAGTGTCTCTGCAGAGACTCCCTGTTGGAAGTTACCTGCATACCCACAAAATGTCAGAAATAAATTATAGAATCCAATAAAATAGTTGCCTACCAATCACTTCAAGTGAAGTTGATACACGTAGCTACTGATATCATATTGGACCAGTTTTATCAAGATGCAAAATTGCAACACCCATAACAGAGAATAATGTGCTGAGGCAACAAAAGCTTTATCGCTTCAGAAATTATATTATCCAATTCAAGTGTCATAAGCATCCTACAAGATGTCAATACTATCAAATTCCCTGGTACTAAGTCAGAAACAATGGTTGAAACGCAGACGCATCCAGTATCATCCTCAAAATGAGTGTAATCACTTTCATCCCTAAATTAGATTATTTGATTTTAAAGCATTCAAGTCGGTGTACTCCAGACAAAAAGGTCTTAAGCTGAGGTGCACATGCAGCAGCACCATTGACAATTAAGGTCATATCCATAAGGATTGAGGATTATGCTTAACTACACAAGGAGAAGAGAGACTAACCTCCTGCAGGAAAACTAAGCTGTGCTGATCTTTGTAATACTGAGAATGCAACGGATCCAACTTTATTAAGTCTTTATAAAGTTCAAGAACTTTGGAATGGACTGTTTTGTTCGTACATTGGGACAAAAGAACATTTTTAGCTGTCAACAATCTTGCAAGCGTCAGAATTCCAATTTTACTGCCAAAAAGAAAGACATGGGATGACTTAGAAAAATAAGGAAATGTAACATACGGCAACTTCAAAATTCAAAGCGGCCATGGCTATGAAACTAGCCTACCAGAATAATAAGGTTTGGAAGAAATCTATTTCATTAGAAACAATTGCTGCACGCCAATTTGAAGTGTTTGGCTCATGAACATCATTAATAATTAGCTGATCAAAAGAAACTGCTTCATGTGGCTCCTGAGATTCTGTTTGGAGTGCATGAAAATTTTCATCCTTCCACAAAATTATATCCCCATCCAGGTCTTCAACTTCACCTCGTTCAGTTTCACCCAGGCATAGACGCACTTTGAAGTTAAATTGTGTCAGATGGCTATAAGGAAAGCCGTTTCGAGAAATGATGCCCTGAGACTGTCCAACGCTAATTTCCAGCAGATAAGGTTCAGAAGAATGAGGTCTTGCCCCTGGAAATATAATATGAGTAACCCAAGCTTGGGAAAACTGGGATCTATTTTGCATAAGCGGAGTCCAGTGCAGATTATTTTTTGTGCAAAACGAAGATTCAATGGTTATTGTCGATGAATTTACACCTTGAACATCTTCAGAAAAATACAGTATCAGTGGAAATGTTCCTGAACTGGAATGGAAGCTGTCAAACTGAGACAAAGAACAGTCATCTGAGCACCTATTTCTCGATAGAAGGACATGAGATCCATGGGAAGGCCAAGAAGAAACAAGAAAAGGAGCATCCATGTTCACTGTTTGCTCAAGAAGTGAAAGATGATAAAACCAACCACTTTGATCTTCTGTACCTGCGACAATAGCACCATCCACAAGCTCATACTCATCACGCAAAACCTTCTCTTTTGAGGAAAATCCTTGAGCCTTTTTCTTCAGCAAACCAGACAGAAGTACTCTGCAAGTTCCTCAATTCAACTAGTGATAAACATGTTTAAGCAAGGGTGCATCATAACGCAGAAGATGGAATCACATAATTGAGCCTTCTGAATGTTGTAAATATATTTCCAACATAAACTGGAAAAGTAGCCTCGTGAACTACTATATGTATGGGGTTTTTTTTTATTGGGTCAATGCTGGGAGGGGAAGGGGGAACACCTCAATCACTGAGGTAGGAACCCATTGGCACTATATGTATGGGTTTGTTGGTGGAAAGGTAATACAAGAACATGCATGACATGTTAAAATCCGTGAACAAAAAAAAAGAAGCGGCATAGAGAAGAACCAAATTACAAGTAACAAAAACAAGGAAGCATAATTTACTGAGATCACAGCAGAGTCAGAGTTATATAGATCATATTCAGACTAGCACCTGTTTGGTGACAACATATTCGGATCAAGCAATCAACTTGAAATGGTTTCCAATTCCAAATATTAAACTTCAATTGGTAAAAGAAAATCCAAATATTTACCTACGATGGTGCCACATTGAGTAATTGCTCAAATTGTCCTGCTTATCTTGTATCATTTCGTTGGTAAACTTCAACTCCTCTTGGTCTGATGTATTGAATAATGCAGCTACAAATCTGGAAAAATAAAGGAACAAAAGAAAAGAAAAGAGAAAGGAACCAACTAAATTGAATAAGTTGAGTGTCAGCACAAAATGGAAATTGGTAGCTGAGGGACAAAGCAAGCAAAGCAGGATGACCTGCGGTGATTCCAAGCATGGAAATTACGGGAATCATGCTTGAGCAATGTTTCTAGAAGCTGGAGTTCGTGGTCTAAATAATCATTCAAATAAGAAGAAGAAGAAGAAGAATGAGCCTTGCTTAGCCTCCTTAGCACCCATTCACGATGATACCACGCTCCGTAGGCTTTAGGATTCGTTCTCAACGCACTCTCTACCTATAGAGACATGAATTGCAAGTCTCTCAATCCATAAGTAAAATAAAATCAAATAAAAAGCGATTATATTATCCAAACAAACCAGTCTAAGTTCTGGGTCGAATATGGAGTTGAAATCTGGGTGCGAAGCAGCGAGTTTGTGTTGGACAGCTAGCTTTCTGTAGTTCCAAGCGGTGTACAAGTCGGGGTTTATCTGGAGGGTTTTGGCACTGAGGTCGAGAGCTTCCTCGTTATAAATGTTCTTGTGGTGGTTGTATAGGAGTTGAGACTGGAGGAAGCCAAGGTTTTTCCCCTTGGCTGCTGAAGCTGCTTCATCTTCTCTTGTCGGGGCTTTGCGGGGTCGCCCGTGCATTTTAAGATCTTAGCTTTGTTTTGGACCCTCCCTTTCCTCCACAGATCTTTGTTGACGCCGGAGCCGAGATCCAAACCGGGGTCGCCCGTACAGAATATACAATGTAATACAAAATAGAAACACTGTCAAACTCAAGCCTCTTCCGATGAGACTTTGCTGTTGCCAGGCTTACCAAACCACATTGCACAACTATGCCTTGCAAAAATCAACTCCATAACTCAACTCGATTCGACTCTTTTTTGAATTGTCTTGAGCGAATTATTTCCGTTAACCAAGAGACAGAGAAAGCGGAGGAAGAAGAAGCCAACGAGAGAAGGAACATGTGGAAGTCTTGTAACTCAACCGCGGGCTCATGGGCCGACGTGGAAGTCTTGTAACTCAACCCTAAACCCTATTCATACCATCCTTTAAAAAAAATATTTGTTTGATACTTATTATTTTTTAAAATAATTTCTTGAAATGTATTACGGTCTAATTATGTAATAACCTCAAAAATAATACTTGGTTTTATTATTTTTGTGGAAAATCTTATTAAGTTGTGTGACTTTATTGGGTGTTTTATGAATTTAGTTTGATGTGAAAATATTGGAATTAAGTGAGTTTAATCTCAAATTTGGACTAAAATGCCCTTATGATTAAGTTTATGATTTTTTTGAATGAAGTAGGCCCGTTTAGGCCCGACCCGTTGAACATAGCCCGCCCCGGCCCGATGGGCTTTCTCAAGTTCGGCTCATGGGTCGGGCTTGGGCTTTGAATTTTCTAAAAAAACCCGGCCCGGCCCGGCTTGATATTTTCTCTCTCCTCTTTAAAGTCCGGCCCGGCCCGGCTCAAGCCCATTGAATTTGGGCTGGGCTAGCCCGGCCCGGCCAATTGACGAGCCCTAGTTTCTCCTTTCATCTCCAGTCTTGCAATCCTCACTCCAATCCTTGCGAACTAGGGGGAAGGTTCTCATGATTTTTTTTAATTTAAAACTAATTTCCCTAAAAATTTATATTTATATTGTTTATTGAAAAAAGGAAGAAATCGTTTAATAATTTTTTGGACCAAATTGCCCCTTAATAAGTAACAGAAGTTAGAAGAATTTGACAGAAATTAAGAATTGTCCTCTAATTGCTTCAAATTGAAACCACAAGGGCAAAAGTGATCAAATTGAAACCATAGGGACCTTAGTGGTAAAAGTGGTAAATCACAGGGACCAAAAGTGACATTTTACCTTTTTTTAATTTGGATGGAGAGGCCGATCCAACCACCACTAATCATCACAAAATAAATTCGATAATAATCCGATTCAATCTAAATTCGATGTGCAAAATATATGAAATGATAAGGGCAATCTGATAATCCGAATTGGATAATTCAATTATAAACAAATTCTAATTTGAATTGAGGTATATCCGATCCTAATTCGACTCGGCTACAGGTCTAGATAAAAGATGTTTAGATATTTTCCTTTTGCCATGTCACTCACCTAATTGGAGGATAATTATGCATGTGTACATAATTACAAAACACCAGTAATTAGACAGTCAACACATGCTCACAGTCGATAGTCAGTAGGTGCCATGTCGGGTTCCTCATAAGGTATTGTTTGGGCCTAAATTATGCACGACAGCTCATCACTATTGGCCCATGATGACATAATAGTTTTGGACTTCGTATTTGACAAGATTGGGAATCAGCCCAAAATATTGAAGAAGTCCAGACCATTCTCAACATCCACAAATTTTACCATGACTTAAATTAATTACCATCTCAAGTAATTTAATTTAACACACCCAACTTTGACCCACACAAATGTCCAGCCTCCAACTACCTCCAGTTTGTTGAGAAAGACCCAGGGAATCAATCACCACTGTTGGTCTCTAGACAAACAGACAGGAAAAGGAATTCTTTTTCCACTATCCCAAAAGCCCACCTGAACCCATCCATAAAGCTGGAAAGGGCAAAGGGATTGTAGGAAAATTGGTAGGAACGGACGGAAAGTGAAGTCAAGAAGAATTAATCATCATGACGATTCGAATTGACAGGTAAAAATAACACCAAGGTTCGACAATTCGAGCTGAGAGTGCAAAAGTGGGAGGAATTTTACAAAAATTCCAAGATATCGAGGGGCAAAGCACCCTATACCTTGCCTATAAATACAAAGAGATAAGGGCTCGCAAAAAGGACAATCAACATCTCAACAACAAAAATCAATCACTCTCTGTCAAAACTGACAGAAATCAAAGATCATTTGATCTCAAGAGTTTCAAACCCAGAAACAATCAAGCTATCTAGTTTGCAAAAGTCATTCAGCTTTCAACAAAACAGGTGAAACTTAGGTTTCTATTTCCAATCCAGCTCAGGAAAACAACTCACCAGCTAAGGGAAACGAGACTTCTCTCGTTGCAAATTCAATCTAGCTCAGAAAAGGCAAGCATAATTCAATTTTCTGTCTTTACAAATTTGGTTTAGCTCAGGCCAATTTAAGCAGAACTTGGGTTTTTCATAATATGAAACCCTCAACAAATTTATAAGATCTTTCACGCGCCCAAAATGGCCAGAATAGCTTTTGGTTGATTCATAATCAAGCAAAACAGGTACTGTGGTATAGCCCAAAGGCAACAATCATCAATCCAGCCATTTCCAATCCAATTCGGACAGAAGATATCTCAATTCTGCCCATCTAGCGGGTCTCTCTATGGCCAGAGCAGATTAAAAGCTCTGCTAATTTCAATATTGGTATCGATTTTTCCGCTGAACCTCACTAGTTGAAGATACTGACGGGCAATTCCAGTACAAGATCAATCCAGTCAAGCCCGATAGTCCAATGTTCTGTCTATCAGATTTGGCAGCTTTTTTCATTTGTTTTAAATTTGCTTGATAGGTAGCTTTTGTTTCAAACAGTTCAACTTATTCCCCAGCTTTCATTCTGGCCAAAATTACCAGTGGCTTTTACTGTGATAAATTATGAAGTCCTCATCAGTCTGAGGGAAGAAAAGAACTTATTTGGGAGTTAGTCCTCACCCAAATTCACAATTATTTGATCAAGTCAGTAACTTGGGGCGCAAGTTATTACGTTTTTCTAAGTCTATTAAGGTTTTAAACTGCTAACAATGGCACGCTTGCACTTAAAAGAAAGTTGACATGTTTACCACAAATGGTTTCTAGGCCAATGAGGATTTTTACCCTATCATCACAGGAACCAAAACAAAACGGGTGAAACAATTTGGCACGCCGAGTGGGACTTCACAATATACATACTCCTATAAAGATATCATTTGGTGTATGACTATTGGAAGTTCTAGCTAGAATCCAAGCTTCACCATGGAGTGAGATCAGCCAGCTACTCGACTGGAAGTACACGAATAAGAAGAAAGTGATCCTAGACAATCAGCTCACGGCAGTACCAGAAGCAGACGTTCCAGATCTAGTTCCAGGAAAATAAGCCAGATACAAGAAGCTATGCTTAGATAGGAGGCTGCAGTGCAGAGAAGTCAAGACACCCTAGATAACATGACAACCATGATGAGATGGCAAGTTAACATGCAGTTCAGAATGGATTGAGAAGCTGCTATTGCAAGAAATCCAAACCCAGACCTTGTAGTCCAGCAACTAGATCTCCCTTTTAGGCCTCCACCAGGTTTTGTATGGCCATATCAGGAAAACCCTTTAATTGCACAGATAGCTGGAATACCAGAACAGGTAAGAATTCAGGATAGACAGAGGGGGGAAGCTCTTGTAGTCCAAGAACAGGAAGTTCCAGCTCTTGCAGCAGGTCCGGCACAAGTCTAGGCTCCCTAGAACGAGCCAGAACTTCTTCCTCTACAGCAAATAAAACTCGGAGAATGGATCCTCATACGTTTCCCCACTACCAAGAGGCAGAAGAGGCAGAGAAGGAGCTAACCCTCTGGCCAACAATGACAGGAACAGACCGGGGGCAAATTGGAGAATCTTCTAGATTTTGAAGAAGAAGAGGAACACAAGGAAGAAGAAGCGCACAGAGCTTACAAAATGGAACAAAGAGTTGAACAGAATTAGCCAGAATAGGTATGTAACGTAGCCCCTGTCAATGCTTTAAATGACATGGGGATATTGCAAAGAATGATTAGAGAAATGATGGAACCTGAGGCCAGAAGAGGAGAAGGACCTACCTACAGAAAGCCATATCTAGCCTGTATTGATCGGATGCCTCTACTCCCGGTTTTAAAGTACCAAATTTCACTTTGTTTAATGGAGAAGATGCTCATGCCTCATCTATCAAAAATATAGGCAGATTTTGTCCAGTGCATAGCCATTGAGAACAATTCTCTTTTGAAGCTCAAGCTTTTTGGAAATTCATTGTCCGGTCAAGCCTTCACCTGGTATACTAATATGCCAGCCAATTCTGTCCAGACCTGGGAATAGATGGAAAACGCTTTTCATGACTACTATTTCAGGATCCATCCAGAAATCACGATTAGTGACCTCGCAGCTCTCAAACATGCTGAAGACGAACCTGCCCAGGAGTTCTTTACCAGGTTCAGGAAGCTAAAAATGAAATGTAGGATTCCAATAGAAGAAAGACACTTCATCCAAATGGCCCAGGTTGCCCTCAAGATCTCTTTGAGAAAGTTATTTGATGGAATACTCTTTACATATCTGGCAAAACTGGCAGACAATGCCTCTAAATCTGAGGATCTACTGAAGGAAGAACAACAAAAGAGAAATTCTTCCAAGGGCACATATTACAAAACGCCATCTTCCTCAGTCCATTTGGTTGAGGTAGAGTCAGAAGAAGACTAAGAAGATTCTGCAGAAATGGAGACAGCAGTGATAGAAATGGCCAAGTTGAAACATCCTATCAGTTGCAAGGCTTTGATCAAGCCACCTCCGTTTATAGGCAGATTTGTTTCGAACAAACTAGCACAAAACAAGGTCTATTCTTTGATCTAACCAATGTGGATGCGTTGTCACGCTCCAAACCTGGGGGTTGGTGGAAACCCCGCTTCTGGTGCATGAGAAAATAAAAAGTAAAATAA